TAAACTTATATTTTATTCACAATAGAATATAGATAACATATCAAATGTTGAAAGTGAGACATTTTGAAATGTCATGCCAAATATTGGCTCATTTTGGATTTCATGAGCGCTACACATTCCAAAAAAGTTGGGACAGGTAGCAATAAGAGGCCGGAAAAGTTAAATGTACATATAAGGAACAGCTGGAGGACCAATTTGCAACTTATTAGGTCAATTGGCAACATGATTGGGTATAAAAAGAGCCTCTCAGAGTGGCAGTGTCTCTCAGAAGTCAAGATGGGCAGAGGATCACCAATTCCCCCAATGCTGCGGCGAAAAATAGTGGAGCAATATCAGAAAGGAGTTTCTCAGAGAAAAATTGCAAAGAGTTTGAAGTTATCATCATCTACAGTGCATAATATCATCCAAAGATTCAGAGAATCTGGAACAATCTCTGTGCGTAAGGGTCAAGGCCGGAAAACCATACTGGATGCCCGTGATCTTCGGGCCCTTAGACGGCACTGCATCACATACAGGAATGCTACTGTAATGGAAATCACAACATGGGCTCAGGAATACTTCCAGAAAACATTGTCGGTGAACACAATCCACCGTGCCATTCGCCGTTGCCGGCTAAAACTCTATAGGTCAAAAAAGAAGCCATATCTAAACATGATCCAGAAGCGCAGGTGTTTTCTCTGGGCCAAGGCTCATTTAAAATGGACTGTGGCAAAGTGGAAAACTGTTCTGTGGTCAGACGAATCAAAATTTGAAGTTCTTTTTGGAAAACTGGGACGCCATGTCATCCGGACTAAAGAGGACAAGGACAACCCAAGTTGTTATCAGCGCTCAGTTCAGAAGCCTGCATCTCTGATGGTATGGGGTTGCATGAGTGCGTGTGGCATGGGCAGCTTACACATCTGGAAAGGCACCATCAATGCTGAAAGGTATATCCAAGTTCTAGAACAACATTTGCTCCCATCCAGACGTCGTCTCTTTCAGGGAAGACCTTGCATTTTCCAACATGACAATGCCAGACCACATACTGCATCAATTACAACATCATGGCTGCGTAGAAGGATCCGGGTACTGAAATGGCCAGCCTGCAGTCCAGATCTTTCACCCATAGAAAACATTTGGCGCATCATAAAGAGGAAGTGCGACAAAGAAGACCTAAGACAGTTCAGCGACTAGAAGCCTGTATTAGACAAGAATGGGACAACATTCCTATTCCTAAACTTGAGCAACTTGTCTCCTCAGTCCCCAGACGTTTGCAGACTGTTATAAAAAGAAGAGGGGATGCCACACAGTGGTAAACATGGCCTTGTCCCAACTTTTTTGAGATGTGTTGATGCCATGAAATTTAAAATCAACTTATTTTTCCCTTAAAATTTATAAATTTTCTCAGTTTAAACATTTGATATGTCATCTGTTGTATTCTGAATAAAATATTGAAATTTGAAACTTCCACATTGCATTCTGTTTTTATTCACAATTTGTACAGTGTCCCAACTTTTTGGGAATCGGGTTTGTACACAGTTTAAAAATTTGGGTTCAATTTTTTTTTTTTTTAAATGACAGTAAAGACTAAAAAAAAAAACCGATGTAAATTTTTTTTTACTTTCAGTTCATCAAAGAATCCTGAAAAATGTATCATGGTTTCCACAAATGTAAGCAGCAACTGTTTCCAACACTAATAAGAAATGTTTCCAAATCAGCATATTAAAATGATTTCTGGATCGTGTCACACTGAAGACTGGAATTGCAATTATTAAATTGCAATTATATTTCAATATTTCACACTATTATTGTTTTTTACTGTATTTCTGATCAAATAAATGCAGTGTTGGTGAGCATAAGAGACTTTCAAAAACCCCAAACTTTTGAACAGCAGTTTCATTTAAAAGATTGTGATCTTCATTAAATTATTTTTAAAGAAATCTAAGCAATCGGTGCATTAATTATTTTTAATGTCAAGGTCGGATGTTTTTGAGTGACAGTGGTTACTCATTGTTGCACGACAGGGTAATCCCCACTAACTGAGTCAGTATGGGGATCACTATAAAAAAAACTGCCTTAGTTAATCTAATCTCAGCTGATCCTGTGGCTTTAGAGGTGGATGTGTGAATGAAAAACTGTCTGTGAGATGTGTGTGGGAAGGGGGCCTGACGGAGGGTGGTCTGCCTCTCAAAGGTTTGTTTGTAGAGGAAAAAAATGAGGGGAATCATATTGTTCATGCTCATGGAGCATAAAAGGAACAATGGGAATACGCTTTTGAACAGACTTCAAGATTCAAGTTCAAAGGCTAACAGGTATCACATTTATATCTGGAATGCCACTCAGATGCTTGAAAGGGTTGCATTGTGGGAACATTGTTTGGATGCTGTGTATCAGCTGGATGGTGTGGGTTCAGACACTGGCAGATCCTCCTGGCTGCTACTGGTTGAAGCACAAAGGACATTCCACAGCTGTGAGTCAGAGAGCAGGGTTCACTGATTCAGCCCCATCCCAGCACTGGGGCCTTTTGATTCAAGGAACTTTCCCATGTTACACACATAGACATAAACTCACAAAACACCATTACAGTCTTTGTACACAAAGAGGTGCTCAGGATGTGCCAAGTACATCAGTCAGAGCAACGGGGTGATGAGATGCAATCCATCACTGAACACAATAACTGACCACCAGGCGGATAAAAGGATAGAAGATAGAATACCTGGTCTGAAAGCTTCATATCCATGTTCTTTTGAAGTTCTGACCTACTGTGCTGTCTTGCTGACTGTTGATAGTAACCCACCTTGGCAAGTCGGTGTAGCTTTTCATGCAGTCAGGGAAAGCAAGGCACCTGATCAAACTCCTATAGATCCTCTAGAGGAGAGCGTTGTGTCATGAAATAATATTATTCTGCCACTCCTACACTGAGCGATCAGGTTCGGTCTAGTTTATACAAGAAAAAACAGGTTTTTGGTGTGAGAATGATCTGTTGAGAACATTCAGTGTGGCAAAAAATGAGGCAAAGCCCCTCATTACCGCCACATTTTCATCAGATTGAACTCAGGAAATACTGACAGGGGCTTGTGAGGTCTGAAATTCAAGACCTAAATGTTCAGTGGATACAGCAGTGAGACGGGATGGATGAGGATGATGTCAAAACACAAACCAGGCATGAGTTGCCAGAACCAAATGTCTGCACAGAAAAAACAACAACATCTGAAATCGTGAAAATAATGAATTGGTGTCCTAAAAAGCGAATCAAATCAAGCATGGTAATGAGCTCCACAGGATGGGATCTTTGTATGTGTGTGTATCTTTTGGTTCTGGTGGGTCTGTGTCACAGTCTGTCGAACATGGATAAATGAGTCTTTCTATTCCTACTGTGCAGGAGGATGACAGTGGTATGGGTGACCAGAAATACCAATAAACACTCATTCTTGCTCAAATACCTCTACAATTCAGAGTGGAACCATTAGAGTAACACAGTGCCAAGGCTTGTTTTGAATTCGACTGACTCTGGAGCATGGGAGGAGAGCGTTTTGGGAAAGATGTCATTCCACCGGGTATATTTATCAGGCAGAGAACATGAAGGAAAGCACCCAGGGATTTCCAAGTGACTCAACAGGCGGACCTCCCACTTGCAACGGCCCCCTTATGTCACAGGGGCTTGTATTCCATGTAAAGTGCACCACACAGTAATAACTAAGTCAGACAATATGATCTGAAGCAGAGTTTTATTACTCAGCAGAGCTTATACACCATTTCATCAAATCTTTCCCTCAAAAAAGACAGAAAAAGGTGAGGTACACAGTAGGGGTATCAAAACCAACTCTTCATTCTGTTTTAAAGTGACATACAGGTCTGTTTCTAGAAATCATATTTGTTATAGTTGTATGTTTTGTGATACTATAAAAGCACAATACTGTAATATGTCCTAGTTCTCTGTCATTAACCCTGCTAGTAACACAGGGAACTGCCGAGAATAATAGCCAACGGCAGCCCATAATACATCTGCAAGCCGAGACAGTGTCTATGGGAACAGCATTATTCGGCAGCAATATAAATGTACGACAGAGATACGGCCCTGATATCGAGTCTACACCTGGCACAAATGCTATGGCTACAGCTCCGACAATCCCACGTCAACACAGTGGCAGTATTAAAACACCTCTGAGGCAGTCATTTAAAAGGCTTTGCTTGCTTTATTCAAAATAAAATGCTGTTACATATTGCAGAAAACCGGAAGTCACAATAAACGGTTTGTCTGATTCAGAGGAAGCTGTTTCAGAGCGGGCCGACGTCTGATATCGTCCCACGGCTGAACTCTAGTGGCGATATTTAATAATAGGTTTTTTTTTCAGTAATTGAAGTTTAATTTTCGAAATAATAATGATAATAATAATAATAATCATCACCACCGCCTCTTTTGATTATCAGACTAGTGGTTTTTGGATAAAGAATCCATCTATCTCGGGTGCTGTTTTGGGCTTTGGTTATGGTGAACATGCTTGCTACTTTACATGTAGGCCTAGATATTTTTTTAGGATTGTGACGAGGCGGCAGAGTGCTGGTGGGACAGGACGCCGATTTCAGTTTCTAATGCTTTCCAGAAGCTCGGCTCCGCAGGTGGAGGATCTTCAGTAGCTCTCACTTCCCGCTTTTAACGCACTTCAAAGGTCTCGTTAGGTCCGCAGAAGCAGGGGGCTCCAGGGATCCCTACAACTCCACCACCTTAATGGCCTGTTTAGAGGGAGATCCCTGCTGACAGCCCCCGGTTCCCCATCTAAAAAATTACAGTCCTGTTTTACAAGAGGGCCAGGAGGGAGGAGGATAAATCTCTCTGGTCCTAGAGGCAGGTTTAATGAGAGCAGGCACACCATCAGCTCCTCGTGCTCGTGTGTTTGCATCATAGGGGTCACGCGCACCACATTTTATTCCTATTCGAATACTCACTAATTTAAAGATAAAGATATCGAGATTTGGGAAAATAAAAAGTGGTCTTTTTGAAGCAAAATAAAACTTGTTTGTGCATGTAATTGGATGCCAAAAAAAATAAAGTTAGGACTATCGCTCTAATACATCATATGAGTGATTGATAAATTAAAACATGCACAATCAGCTAGTTAGAAGAGCTTGGCTTTCTTCTTCATGTCGTTGCGCTTCCAAAGAGGAAGTCTGTCAAACTCATGGATCTCCATCCCAAAAATATCAAAGAATGTCTCGGAAGCCAAGTGGCGCTGGATATAAGGAGAGAGAAATATTAAAGAATTATAAATCATCAGGCATGTGAGCAGTTAAGAACAAAAAGAGACTTCTTTTTCGATTTCCCTCATTCGATATGACTATACAACAATAATAATGAAAAATTGCTGCGTCTTAAAATACATTCAAAATGCATTTATTGTTCTGAATACAACAACAACAGTAGGCCTAATAATAATAATTACGTTTATTAAATACTCACTTTTACTGTACAATAAAAGTGAGTATTTTTGCTATAAGCATTGAGAAGTGAGAAGTATTATTGCTATAATATTTCTATATTAATTGACTTCTATCATTTAAATAATAATTTTGAATAATAATTACTAGTAGAAATATTATAAGCAATATTTTACTATTTAATAAGTGTCTACGTAGTCTAGTTGATAACAGCACAAATAAAATTAATAAAAACGTATGTTTACTATACAGCAGCATTATTGCAAGTGATATTTTATTAGCTATATTTGATCATTTAAATAATATTTTAACAACATCAACAATTATTATTGTAAATAATATTTGTATTATTTATTATTTTATTTAGATATGTGAGCATTTAATAATAACAACAATACTGTTGTTGTTGTTGTTATATTTTACAGAACAATAAATGCATTTTGAATGTAGCCTTAAAACGCAAATTTATTTTCCTCTGATTTACGCAGTTCAAAGGAGTCATACTTTTCAAGTCGCAAAATGGACAAAATAAATGGACAACGAGTCATTTACTTTCATGCAATTTCCACTCAGTGAGGCTATCGGGTGCCATTTACCTCCAGTCTCGTCCTGTCCACATCCTTCGGGAGCTTAGTACGCCCTCTGTTGGTGACAGTGAGCATTTCATGTGGGTACACCTTTACAAAAGGAGGGATTGTGTTGTTATGGAGAATGCAATGCTAGGCATTTGCCAAACACAATGAACTGCAGAAAGCAAATGGACAAGGGAATAATGCACGGTCATTACATTCTAACATGGCACACAAACACCATCTCTTGCCAAAATACAACACTGCAGCACACGGTGCAAGTGAGAGAGTGAGTGTTGAGGAGGTGTGCAGAGCATGCAGATGAACAAACAGTAGGTGAGCCTTGTGTGTGAGAGAGAGTGTGAGCATGTACTGTATTTCCAAACCAGAAAGTCTGTGTTTCTCAATATGGGAAAGAAGTGCTGGATAGAATAATATAATATATGTATGCTTTAAGTGCAAAATAGATACAGTTAGCAACACATAATAAACTGGGGGTGTGGTTTAACATGGAGACGAATAAATCCTGGTTCCTGTACCATATTCATTTGTATGGGGGAAAATAAAATTCTCAAAAAACACTAAACGTTTCAGTGTTTTTGGAACAAGTAACGTTAACAGACATCACAATGAATATTTTAAATAAGTGAAGTGCAAATGCAGATGTCAGAAAATTTCTCACATTCACTGAAATGCAGCTGAAAACAATCTAAAGTTTGATTAAGCTTGTTTGATGTCTTCACTGGTCTCTCAACATTGTGAGCTGGTTTTATTGAAGTTTTCAACTGGCTGACCTGATAAACACCAGCTTGGCCACACTGGGACACCAGCGTAAACCAGCAGAAACCCACATTGCCTTTGGGAAACATTTCTTATAAATATTAATGATGAAAACAGTAGTGCTGCTTAATATTTTTGTAGAAACTGGGATACATTTTTTTCAGCCTTCTTTGATAAACAGAAAGTTCAAAAGAACAGTGTTTATTTTTTTTTAAATCTTATAAAATAATTTTAAAGTCTTTACCGTTACCTTTTAATCAATTTAATGCTTACTGAATAAATAATAAAAAAGCCATTTTGAACTGCAGTGTAATTTATATAATTAAACGTTGGATCAGCTAAAATCACTAATTAATGACCAATATTTCCTTTTATTCAGTGTAGATTCATACAGTCAGTCAAAGTCTTATAATAGTGTGTGTGTGTGGGGGGGGTCTCTCAGCAGAATTTACTTAATATTTATTTTATTTGTAATACAGCATGCAAAGTAATCTTTGCTGCAGATATTATATGAAATTGCATAGTCGTCTCTTAGTCTAGTCTCCTTTTAGCTAGCAAATGTTCAGGAGTTCAGAATGTGCTTTAAAAAAAATAAAAAAAATAAAAAATAGTTTTACTATTTATTTTCCCCACTGAAATGAATGGGTAACTCTGGTCACAGGGATTTGTTTTTTTCTACAGCTGGCCAGGTGTTTTCGCCAACTGTATCTACAGGAAGGAATTATAATGCTGTTAATGCTACTAGCACTTCTACGAACAGTTAACAGTCTACAATCATGCCAGTTGTTATTGCTGGGAAAACCTATTAAGTTCTAATCTATTTAATCTAGCCAATAACTAGGGCCGAGGCATTAATTTAAGTTCGGCCCTAGAGAATCAGGCTTCTGGGTAGCTAAAGCAACCACTTTCACAAAATATTACCATATGTAACCATGAAGCCTCTTTAACGAGAACCAGGAGTTCAAAATGATTGAATGATCTCGAAACTACTAGTATGTCATGTGATGACATCATTTCATGGCACTGGAAGATATACAAGTTATGCTAGTCTTGTTCTTCCCACTGACCATCGCCTGTGAAGATGAGCCAAAATTACGGCCCTGACTGAATAATCTTGGTTTTGGGAGGGGGTGATTATTTATTGAACAGAGGAGCATTTAGAGATGGAAGAGAGACGAGAAACATAATTTTTGAAAATATTTGGGATACTTGCTTTATATTCCAACATATTAGGCATAGACATTCCCCTGTCCATTCTTGTAATGGAATCTTGGGCACCTTGGGTGGGCTATAGAACAGAACACATACACGTGATGCAAATGATAAGAAAAGAAAGCAGAAAACTGTTTTCAAGAATTCAGAACCTTGGGAAATAGTCTGGATCTAATTCCTAACAGCTATTGCTCTGTATCAAGTTCTCGCAAGGGAAGTGGATCCAGCCACTATCCATGTGATGTGTTCTCAGGGGTGGGGGAGTTTTTCAACGTATCAAACCCTTGACTGTGCGCTTGTCTTTCCCCATGGCTCAAACTCAGACACAAGCATAGCAATGAGGGCATGAGTGCCATTCCGGTTACATGTAGCATGATTTGACTTCCATAAGTGCATGCTGATGCACATGCTCAGTAAATACTGCGGGTCACTCACATACCTTGAAATCTGTGTAAATCAGAAAGAGACAAATTCCAAAATATTACAATTTTATTCAAAAGCTTCTTTTTTGGGGGGGTTGGGGGGTGGGGTGGTTATCAGATGTATTTTCAGTATTAGAAGTATTGAATTGTACCTCTTTGTCCTCCACACACATCCCCGTAACTGTTATACTGAGAGAGTTCTGTAGACTGGGGCTGGAAGCACAGACAAAAAAAAAAAGAAAGTCATTAAAGATGCACTTTAATTTGTTATACTGGCCTAATTTATTCCACATGCTCAAAAAGTATCTTATGCTTACCAAGACTGCTTTTATTTGATTAAATATGCAGTAAAAATGTTAATATTGTGAAATACTATTACAATTTAAAATGATTAGTTTTTATTTGAATATATTTATAAATAAATGTAATTGCTCAGGTATTACTGATGCTTATTAATAATGGTTCTTAATTTGATCAATGTTAAAAACAGATTTTTCTGCTTATTATTTTCATAAAAACATAATTTTTTAGGATTCTTTGATGAATAGAAAGTTCAATTGACAGTATGTATTTGAAATAGATTTTTGCATATTATTCATGTCTTGACTGTCACTTTTGATCAATTTATTAATTTATTGGGTGTTTGCTGAATAATAGTATTAATTTTTTTTTCTTTTTTTTTAATTGTACTTACCCCAAACTTTTGAATATTAATGTGTTCATTATTTATAAAAAATTTTTTTTACAAAACATTAAGAAGTAAAAACTGTTTTCTAGCATTGATAATAATAATAAATGTTTCTTGAGCACCAAATCAGCATATTAGAATGATTTCTGAAGGGATGTGAAAATGAAGACTGGAGTAATGGCTGCTGAAAATTCAGCTTTGCCGTCACAGGAATAAATGACATTTTAAATGCCTTTTACATGCACTTATTAAATATAAGTAAATAACAGATGAATGGCTGAGACTTACCCGATGGAGGCCATTCCGCCCATATCCAGGCAGAGATGATGTTTTAACGGTTTGGGAGTCTATAACAGAGGACAGAATACTTTTGTACTAATATACTATTATCTGAATAAAGCTATATTTGTTGTGATTGCTTTGAAAGTAGGTGGCATTATACCTGTGATACAGTTAGCATATTGGGAGTCAAAGCGCTGGGCGGCCACACTTCGTATGTATCTCTCTCTGTTCATATCCTTTTCCATCTCCTCCTTCAGAATGAGCTTCCCAAGTCCAGACTGGATCTGCAGTTAAACACAGTCATATGAGTGAAAGTACTTAAAGTACGATCAGATAAAGGTTAAATTTATTCCACTTTAGCATGCTTATTAGCCTGCATTTATTAGCCTTATTCACTAAACACCCCCAGTCACTGCAAATATGCAAATTAGGTGTGTTTGCGTAATTATTTCAGTGATTTGGATAATAAAACAATGCAGACAGCATGTGTAAATAACACTGTGCAGTGCAGCATAATTTGGCACATATATGCATTTAAATGGCTGCTTTGACTAAAAAAAATGACACAAGGAATGTATAAGCATTAATACGCGCTTGACCTTGCTGAGATGTTCTTCCTGAAGATGTCTGCGTTTCAGTTGCTCTTCCTCTTCTTCGTCCCGTGACCGACTCCTCCCATCTGAGCCTGCCCGTCCATGAAAGAAAAAGGCAAAAAATATTAAGATGATTGCAACATTGTCATGTCATTGTACCCATGGTGACCTGCAACGTAACCTCAGTTCAGTTTGTACACATAATCGAACAAAAATAACAATGAGTTAAATAATATAAAAACAAATAATAAAATATAAAAACATGGTCAGACTGAGTGGTGAAATGATTTTTGTACACAAGGAATGTATAAGTATTAATACGCGCTTGACCTTGCTGAGATGTTCTTCCTGAAGATGTCTGCGTTTCAGTTGCTCTTCCTCTTCTTCATCCCGTGACCGACTCCTCCCATTTGAGCCTGCCCGTCCATGAAAGAAAAAGGCAAAAAATATTGAGATGATTGCAACATTGTCATGTCATTGTACCCATGGTGACCTGCAACGTAACCTCAAGAGTTCAGTTGTACACATAATCGAACAAAAATAACAATGAGTTAAATAATATAAAACAAACCATAAAATATAAAAACATGGTCAGACTGAGTGGTGAAATGATTTTTGATTGAAAATGAAATTGATTTATTAGCATTGGCAAATAGCAACCTAAAGTTTTCCTCAGATTTACTGCCACCACAACCGGCTCTAGGACCAGTCAGATGGGAACACCAGGCCAAATTTACCAGCAGCAATTCAAGAGTTCTCCACCCACAGAGCATCGTTTGAATTCACAGATGGCTTCCATTCGTTTTTGGTTACTGCCAGCAGCAGGAGCGTACCTAAAGCAGCAAGGGACGGAGGACACGGCCAGTAGTCGGTCTCGATCTTTGGTGTTTCGTCCGGCCGGGGGGCGTGGGCAGCGGGGAACTTGGATGATTTGATGATGTCATCAGCGGACTTGCTTTGGGCTGCTAGGGCAGCTGAATCTGAATCGGTATTTTGGGGGAACTGGACTATCAGTGACGGACTCTCATAGGCTGGCAATAAGTTTAGTGCTGGCCATTCAGTTCAAAGCATTTCAGGATTTTTACAAAAGATGCCGTTCAGTTTACTGAAACTAATGTGAAGATTTGCAGATTATGCAAGATAGAGACCAAAGTAGAGTCCTCTGAGGTGTCAGTGAATTTGTTATGGGATCTTGCAGGCAATAACATCATGCAATTAGAAGGCAGAATCAAAGTTTTATGGCAATTGTTAAAGAAGGAGGATTTTAGTTTCTTGCCGTAGGCGAATCGGTTGTGAGGAAGCGATTAAAGAAAAAGAAAGAGTCTCAAAAATGAGATAAGTTTATGATGTCAAATGGTACTTACATGTGAACATAGGATGTGATCATAGCATCATAATCACAAATTAATGGATGGATGGAGCCAACACACATAAACAAACATATAAAATATAAATAATAAAAATAATTGTCAGAAATCATGCTTGCGGACACACCATAATGACAGGCACCAAAAAAACAAAAAAATGTTGCTGTGTAAAATAAATCTTTATTTTAGATAGATAGATAGATAGATAGATAGATAGATAGATAGATAGATAGATAGATAGATAGATAGAATAAGCTTAAAATTTGAAGCAACTATACCATGCTGTTTGTAGATTGGTGGTTTTCTATACATGTTAATGCCTTGGTCTGTGAATTAGAAAATAAAGATCTAGTTTTAACAACACATTTTTAATACCACCTCAATCACAAATAAGACACTCCAATCGAATCAGTTATGATCATGATCTGGGGAAATGCGAAAGTATGACCAAAATTTCTGAATCATTTGTGGCAGTACATGAACTCTGCATAAGAGGTAAACAAAATCTACAATCAAAACAATAAATAAGAAAAAGCATAGATGCATTATGGAAGGGATTGAAATGAAAGAATTGAGGAAGAGAGAGACAGCAGATAAAACTCTCTAGAGAAGAAAAAACAGGGAGATGATGCTCCGGCTCCTACCTGGGATGTGGAAATGTTTAGGGGTCAGAGAGAGGGTCGGGGTGGCCGGCCGAGAGGAAAGAGGAGAACTCCGGCCACTGGATGGCTCAGTGCCTCCAAACAAGGAGAGCAGAATAAGCGCGAGAAAGAAAAGAACATAAAAAGAAGGAAAGAAAAAGAGAATAATGCCTGAATAAATCTTCACTGTTGGAAAGATGGACGAACAGAGAGGTGACAGAGAGACGGACTGGACTGTGTGGGTCGGCCCCACGGAAGAGAACAGGTGTTGAAGGACATACAGATTGGAAAAGGAGAAATGCCTCAGGAAAGCAGCACACAAACTTCACAATCATGAACACGGTAACATTCACCACCACAGTAAAAAGATATGTGTAAAATTTACACCGCTAGGAAGATGTTGTCTGATGATAACACGACTGAATATCCTTTAAAGCAGGGGTCACCAAACTCGGTCCTGGAGGGCCAGTGTCCTGCAGAGTTTAGCTCCAACCCTAATCAAACACACCTGAATAAGCTAATCAAGGTCTTGCTAGGTACATTTGAAACTGCCAGGCAGGTGTGTTGAGGCAAGTTGGAGCTAATCTCTGCAGGACACCGGCCCTCCAGGACTGAGTTTGGCGAATCCTGCTTTAAAGGGTTACTTTTTGCCTGTGAGAAAACAAATGTAAGCATGCAACATGAACATGTTCCAAAAACTAGTGAGCTGTCTACATAGACAGCATTTCAAGACATCACATGCACTCCCCTGCTGTTACAAAAGGTAAGAATCTATGTCAAGTATATCCCCCAAATTATTATTATTTTTAATGAAAAATATTATTATAATTATTTGGGGGATATGCTTAATTTGTCATGAAAAATTATATAAAAAATAGACATGCAAATGTATGACACACAGAATTACTGGTGTTTTAAAATACAAGTTTAATTTCAGCTAGGTTACCACCTTAAGAAGGCTATGTAGACCGTAAACAGCAAGGCAACTCACTATGTTTTGGAACAGAGTTATTAGTATAAGAGAATTAGTGATGTCACAGTGACTTGATTAAATGTTGCTTAATGAGCTGGCATATAACTGTTGGTTAATTAACTGTCAAATACACCAAATTCTGAATGGTCAAAACACAGGACCAGCATGCTTCTGAACTGCTATGGGCACCGAATTGCTCTACACAGAGTCAACAACAGCCATGAAGCCAAGACATACCTATGCAGAAAGAATCTGTGGAAAGGACAGAGGGACATTACACACATGAGCTTGTGATTAGTAAACTGTGCATTAGCAACTTGCATTAGATGTGCTTCAGTCGGATTTACATATCAAAAGCAGCCCTTGACCTCATAAGGTTGCCATTCAAGCATTTCAACTCCAGGACTTAGGAATTTCTCAAACAGAGCCGGCAAAAGCACGGCTCTACAAGCTAAAAAGTCACAGTCAAGACATTTTAGCAGGCCTGAATCAGAGGAGGGGGGTGGATTTGTGTCTACAGAATAATATTGACACTGGGAACGAGGAGAAGAGGTTGGGCAGTGGGGAGTGGAGAGGCCTTACCTTTGTTATGGGGGAGGAAGTGATGTCGGAAAGGGGAGGTAGGGCGCGTGTCGCCGGAGCGCAAAGAGGAGCAGAGCTTCAGCATTCCTGCCGGCCGCTCAGAGAAGAGGAAGAGGAACAGAGGAGGAGCATGAAGGAAAAAAGAGGATGGAATGAGCACATGTGAGCAGAGGAGGGAGGCAGGTTACAAGCTCAGGAGGAAACGGAAAGCAAGAAAAGGCAACGCGAGGCCAAAATGTTGTAAGGAGATCTTGCTCATCCATACACTCCGCTGGAATCCTAAAGAGGAAGGATTTGGATTATTTCATTTGACTCACCTGGTCTGTGGAAGTGCTGGGGTGACTTGGACAGAGGGGGTATATAGTTATGGCGGTGGTAAACCGGAGAGCCGATGGAGCCCTGACTGGTGGATCTTTGTATGATGCGCTCCCTCATGTCATAACAACCCTACGGTAGACATGCACACACAACATCACACATTGGAAGGTTCAAAACACATTAACATTACTAAATGCATTAAAGGAACCCAAAAATGAAAATTCTGTCATCATTTACTCACCTTTTAGATATTTTGAAGAACGTTGGTGACCAAACAGTTTTAGTCCCCATTGACTTTCATTCTAATTTTAGACCATATTATGCAAATCAGCTAAAACTGTTTGGTTACCAACATTCTTCAAAATATCTTATTTTGTGTTAAAGAATGAGGATGGCTAATGATGACAGATCTTTTATTTTTGGGTGGACTATGTTTTCAAGACATGGTTTAATGAACATGTACTATTGGCTCTAGTGTAGGGGTGTCAAACTCAATTCCTGGACAGCCAGAGCCCTGCAGAGTTTAGATTCAACTCTAATTAAACACACCTGATCCAAATAAGTTCAGGCTTATTTGAAAACTACACGGTATGTGTGTTGGAGCAGGGTTGGAACAAAACTCTGCAGGGCTTTGGCCCTCCAGGAATTGATTTTGACACCCCTGCTCTAGAGTAATAAAGAAAACTAAGCATTATAAACAGCCTCTAACCTCAGCGGATGGGGTGGGAGACAGTGTTCTTGGAGACTGAAACAGAACAGGAACAAAAGCTCTATGTAAGTATGCATCAGAATCAGTACTAAAAGGTGGATAGGAGACTGTATGCTAGATAGAGCAGGTCAAAAAAGCAAATAATACAAATTAGGAACAGGAAGTTAAATCATGCCACTGCCTTTTATGCTTTTTAAGGTTTTGTATATTAGGCTGTTTATATATTAGTTGTTTTATGGGTGAATGTCACAAAACTGTTCACCTCAAAGTTAAAAGAACAAAATAAGTTAGATACATTAAATTAGATACATTAAATTAAATTTTAAATAGTTTTAAGTGTTTGGAAAATCTTGCAAGGCTGCATTTATTTGACCAATATTACAGTAAAAAATAAATAAATACAATTTAATTAATTAAAATTGAAAATAACTTTTCTATTTTAATATATTTTAAAAAGTGATTTATTCCTGAGATGCAAAGCTGAATTTTCAACAGCCAATACTCAAGTCTTCAGTGTCACACGATCCAAATATGCTGAAAATAAATAATTCAAATATGCTGATTTGATGCTCAAGAATCATTTATTATTATCAATGTTGAATAAAAACTTTGATACTTTTTTCATTCAGGGTTCTTTGGTGAATAAAAAGTTTAAAAGAACAGCATTGAATTGAAATAGATTTTATGTAAAAATGTAAAAACCTGTCACTTTTGATCAATTAAATGCATTCTTGCTGAATAAAAGATGAATTTGTTTTAAATAAAACCTTATTGAGCTTTTGAATACAAAAAAATGACAAAACAATCCAAAAAATCATAATAAGCTTAATTTCAGCTGTAGCTGGGACAATGACAGACATACAGACAGACATACATTACAATCATGAACGCACACTCCAACAGGACACTTTTGAGTGTTTGCCATGAGGACTTCTTCCAGTGCTCAAGAGTCAGCTGAAGCTCAGTGCCATCTTCAGGATGAGTACATTTAAGAGAGAGAACATTGTGGCCACAGCTGTGGCAGGGTTCAGAGAGAGATCACTGACAGCTTACCATTTCTGCAGACAATGAGGAGGGGTCTTGTGGCAGGGTCTGGGAATGTGGACACAGAATTAAAATCACTAAAAATAACATTATGTTATGCGTCATGGAAACAGCTGTGTTTTCTGTGACCCAACACGCATTGGATGATGTTTTAAATTAAATGAATCTAATGAAGGTGAAAGAAGAATTGCAAAAAGGCACTTGAAGTGTTCGTTTTGAATGTTAGATGCTAATGTTATGCTGAAGCCTAGATTGAGAAGTGACACAGATCGGATATATGTTTTCTGGGAGAATCATATCAGTTAATTGAGAATGAGCATGAACGTACACCATTGCCATGGCACACATGGATGGATTCTTCAGTTTTTAATTGGGTGCTTGAGTGTACACACTTTAGAGTTCAGAAAGCGGTCAATGAGATGAGAGAAACTAGGTGTAAGAGGCATTAGATATTCATGCTTATTTGATTGGGTAAGGCTTGTAAATGAATATGTTAGTTGTGTTCTTCTTAGTTTGGGTTGGTAATCCACAAACTAATTGGTTATGTCAGTGGCCTTATTTCTATCCTGCTCACACTTACTGTGGCTCTGCCTCTGGGAGGGCTGCCACCTGAGGCTTTGACAGGCTGTAGGGGAGGAAAGGGGTTGAGTTTGGTTACTCTATGAACCTGTTGGTGACTCAAGAATATGGTATGCATTAAAGGTATATTCTTGGTCGTTTTCAACTTTCAACTTGACAGTAATTTTGTTAACTGTAAAACACTTACAACGGAAGTCTATTTGGCTAGTGGGCTGCACTACTAAGAAAATAATCTACTACATTCTTTTGAAAGTGTTAGCATAAAACTGGTGTGAAAAAATCGTTTACTGACCCTTTCTTTGCGGCTATTTCTGCTATGGCATACATGTCATAAACTCATGTCATGACCAACTAAAAAAGTAAACCCAGTTTTGCTTAATTAATATCTTGGTCTTGTTTTCCAGTGAAAATATCTATACACAAAATTTAAAGAAATTAATACTTTTATTTAGAAGGGATGCATTATATTGATCAAATGCGACAAATGCTGTTCTTTTTCATTTTAGATTTTCAATTTCATTAAAGAATCGTGAAAAAATGTATCACAGTTTCCACAAAAATATTAAGAAGCACAACTGTTTCCTTATTAATAAGAAGAAGAAATGTTACTTTAGCACCAAATCAGCATATTAAAATGATTTCTACTGGAGTAATGGCTGCTGAAAATTAATCTTTGGCATCACAGGAAAAAATACATTTTAAAATAGATAACTGAAAGTTAATTGTTAATGTTATAATGTGTTACAATATTGATACTTTTATTGATTTTTTTTTTTTTTTTTATCAAATCAATGTAGCCTTAAAAATGAAATTCTTTCAGGAACATTACCAATGAAGTTTTTGAACGGTATGGTGTAATTGCTGTAATTTTTATTTTATTTTATTGTGTTGCAATGCATAACCAAAATTTCCTACACCTAAAAAGTAGTCCCTCCTGATGATTTATACAACATAACAGCCAACAAAAATTAACATTTCTAGTTAATAATTCATGTAAGTGCAAACAATAATGTGAACTTCACATTTCTACTACTTATAGGACCCCGGCCCATTGCTTGATAGACTTATATTGTAAGTGTGTACTTGTAAATACATTTTCTGTTTGTTTATACACAGTCAAGGACAAGTCTAAATGATTGGCTTTGGTAATCAACTACAGATGCAGATGAAAAAACCCGGAAATATCCCTTTAACACATCTTCATCACAGCAGATTGTCTGAGATTTTGATTATAGTCACCAGGTGGCGCTGTGACACTGCTGTCTCTACACAGAGAAGGCGCACAGGCGTTTTCAGGTACAGCAGAACAATGTTTAATAGACAAAGGGAACAAGAGCAGTCACAGAGAATAAAAAACACATCTCTCATATTCTTTTCATGCATAGACATAAAGCTAACATGCTGACAGGAATACATGCAATGTACATGATCACATACAGAGAAATGAGCAAACACACACACTTGCTCACATCTGCTCTGTCTGTGGCCTGAGAGCCTCGACCAGTAGTGTTTTTTGGAACACTAATGGGATCATGGGGTCAGAGAGGTATTATGGTTACTGTGATAGGGAACTGGGGATGGGACCGTATTATCACAAAGATGGAGCATTGGCAGAGTTGGGTCTGTTATATAGGGGTAGTCTGGTAGCAACTAGGTGGCCAAAGTGGCTAAAACCCATGTGCAGTTTTGGTAATCGAGACTAGACCAGTGGTTCTAAACCAGGGGGCCCGAGGCCCATTAGAGGGCCTCAGCAAATTTTCAAGGGGGCCGCAGGGAGACTTTAATGTATTGAAATTGATAAATTATGATTAATATATATAAATCAAATTTATAGTTGAATATGAAATCAAGATGTAGCCTATATACTATTTTACATCTAAATCTATTTTCACTCAATAACTTGTTTTTATTGAAGAAGAACATAACTTCTGTAACAAAATGAATTATGGTTAATTAATTTGATGCATTTATTTAACAAATTTAATTTAATATATCAATAAAAAAAATTCATAATTGCATAATTACTATTGTTTTTATTAAAGAATATACAGTTCTGAAACACAGAACAGTTTCTGGAATCACAAAATTAATTGTGGTTAAGGTAATATATTTAGTAAGCCAAATTAATTTATATAACAATACAAAAGTTTAAAAACAAGCTTTGTCATAATTACATAATTAACAAAATTTTACATCTATATATTTATTTTTTATCCATATTGTTTTTGAAGAACACACCATTCTGGAATACAGAATATTAATTCTGGAATAACAAAATTAATGTTGGTTAATTTATTTAATTAATTAACTTTTTATTAATTAATTTAATTAACCATGTGAATTAATTCAATATATCAATAAAAAAAGTTGTAAAACTCTGTCATAATTACAGTTTGAAATACTATCATATCATATTCACATACGCTAATATGTCTTAGCGTATATGAAGTGGGCCTTCTAATATTGTGCTGTGCGATGGAGGCCCTAGAGTTGAAAAGGTTAAGAACCACTAGACTAGACTGTCCAGATCTCCAAATTGAAGTACAAGGAAGTTAAATGTAAAGAGTATGGCTGTACACAAAATTTTAGGCAGGGGCGCTGTCTGATTTGAGGTAAAACAGCTAAAGTTGACTTTTTATGAAAGCCACACCTAGTCCAAAAATGAGAACAAATTTATAAACATAAATCGGTGACATTATAATTTCTACACAGCCATACAGTGGCTATACATATCATATTAGGTCATAAAAGCACATCGCTTGCTTATTAGAAAGACACTAAAAGTTTACGATTCGGATTACCTCTCCGGGGCTGCGCCTTCCTTGTCTTTCCAGGGTGGAGGAGGTGGAATGGAGAGACTCATAAGATATCATGTCTGGACGCTCTATGTCATAAATGGCCTTGACTCTGGGGATGGCTGCTAGGTCCTTGTAATCAATAATCTCATTGTCTACTTTTGCCTGGAGGAAGGAGAGGATGAGGGACAGGGAGGGAGGGGACACATAAGTGGAGAAACACAGGGAGAAAAGGTGTTGATGAGGAAGAGGTCAGGGCACAGGTGAAAGGTCATCCACATCACATCCAAACAAAGCGACAGCTCAAACAAAGGTCATCACACATGGTGAACATACACTGTAGAAAGATGAACGCTGTTGTTTTTGGAGGCATGCTTATGAGAGAAGCTACCCGGCTGAACAGTGTTATTGTAAATGTTTCTCTAAATTTGGTTACATGCTAAAATGATGCTACAGATATTAAATACAAGGCGAAGGCAAAGAGTGGAAAGAAGGTGAAGCAAACTCCTGTGCTTTTCCTGCATGTTTTTTTTAAACATCGACCCTGAAGTATTGCAGCATCAGTATCCGTTGTGGATTGAGTGGTAATATCTGACAGACTCTGGAAACGATTGGGGGCGCTGATGAGTGGGACTCACATAGATGGTATGACCTGGAGATCCAGGGATGCTCGAGCCAGGTCTCAGACAGATACTTTCAGACGATGACCTTGTGGGCTGCGGGACAACGAGATGTTGTGTTAGCAATAAGCTGAAAACAAATACACACACGTATTCCTAAACACACTCATAGATGCCAATGGGAAGCTTAAAGGGGTAGCTCAGCTAAAAATGAACGTTTTGTCAACAGTTACTTATTCTCATGTCATTCCAAATCTATATGACTTTCGTTTTTCCATGAAACAGAAAAGGAGAAAGTCTGAAGAATGTTCACGCTGCTCTTTTTCATGAAATGGAATTGAAAGGAGACTGAGAATTTCGAGCTACAAAAGAGGACCATAAAATGTCATAAAGTAAATCATGCACTATTTCAAGTCTTCAAAAGGTTTTTTGTGAGGAACATTTAAGTCGTTATTTGAATGTTTTAATGTTTTTGGATGCTTAATTGTATGATAATTGCAATTATATGTACTTTTGAGTATTTTTGCTCACTTAAGTATATCTTTAAATGTAATTTCTTAATTATTTCTATTTTCTTAGTTTCTTATATCTGATGAATACTGATGAAATGTACTGACATGGTAAACTAAAATATAATGTAATTTTTATTGAAACTTGTATATCACGTATTTAAATATATTTGTTATTACAAATTTGTAACGATGATTACCTAAGTGTGTTATGAAACAGTCATGAAAGTGTACTGTCATTAAGTGGCCTTTTATTTCATTAATATTATATTATCTGAATGTGCATTTTTAAAAAATTTACCTTTAAGATTTGAAATACACTATAAATGCATGTTCAGTCTAACTAAGCACACTTCTTTTTCACAAGGGAAGTCATACAGCTTTCAAAGACATGAGGATGAATGACGAGAGTAAATGATGACAAAATTTAAATTTTTGGGTGAAGGAGGCACTCATTTTTTAGCTTTCATTCAGCACAAATTAGAAAGCTACAGGATTTCCAGCTCATATTGCCTCCTACTCCAATGCAAGTCTTCCCAAGATGCTGTTTCATATAATACAATATGCAGCCATGGCAGCCAATCCCTCAGATATGACTCTAGGTCATCAAAAACACCAGAATTGGGCGACCTTAGAAAGAATATTCTGTACAAGTGGCCAGTTCTGTTAGCTACATTGTGAGCTCATATCTGAGATGGTTCTGCATGAAGAGTCAAACAGCAGTAATTCCTGTAATGGTGAATGGAGCGCTGGAGGACTTGAGCCACATGCCTGCAGCAGTGAAAAGCGTAATGATTCACACACAGGCTGTTATGGGGAAGTTGGCAAGGGTGGAAAGCCCTCTGCTGGTGGGTGACTGCAAAGGCAAGAGCCACAAAACACACTCAGAGTTCTCCAATCTGCTGCCAGAAGCCGAATACAGTACCTGCCTTTCTGATTGGTGCAGAGATGTTACTGAGGGTGGAAGGGGCTGTGAAGGGAGGAAAAGGCATTACAGGATATGACATCACACTCAACAAAACACCTGAATCATCTATCATACCCAGCGGTCATCTAACTCGAGCACTTCATCCATAGCCACCTACTCGCAGCCTTGCTTACTATCTTATGCATGCAGGCAGATCCTGATTTTGTGGGACAAAAGGTTATTTTTTGTGAATTCATAACATTGTGATTATGACCTAACTTGCAGAAGGAGAGAGCAAGCACATTCCGTCTTGCTGTGGGGGATGTAAGTTAACTAATATGAAGCTAAAAAACACACAGCAGTTAAGTCTTGCTTTGAAGTAAAGCAGGACTCTCTGAGAAAGTTGAGTTAGCCGGAAGCATTGCAGTTTGGAGGGAGTGCAGAGCAGAAGACTGCAAACCTCACAACTGCTCAGGGGATGCTGGCCCAGCCGAGAGTCACCTGGGCCCCGGCTCTGAATCTGAGACTGGGGGTAAAAGATATCAAACGGACTGGGTTTTCCTTTAGGATGCTGCCAAGCTGCCTAAGGAGGAGAATCACAACAGAATGGACAAAATACACACTGACAAACACACACATAGATTCTCTTTTTGTGATTCAGATGTAACGCTTCAGCTAGAGCACCTGAGACCTAATTTTAACCTTGGAGTCACTTGGGGAAGTTTTAAAAAGCAATTTGAAGAATGTGAGCATTTTAAACATCTCCCAGTGTTTTGTAGACTGTTGTTTCTGGGAATAATATGAGGGAGGAGCTCAGCAAAGTTTTCTCTTTCAGAGAGAGAGAGACAAGGCTGATTAAGTGACTGACTGGCTCACAGTAAGAGTTTAGATAGATAGATACTCACTCTGTACTTCTCTTCCACTCTACTGTTGTTCTTACAGTCTGGATGCCATACTGTACAACCTGAGAGAGAGAGGGAGAGAGAGAGAGATTAAGACAAAATAAGGGTGGGTATATCAGAATTCTTTTACCATATGGTTTTCCCCTATTACAAATGGCACATTCTACTAACATAATTTCCTTCATTTGTATAGAAATCGAAGTATTGACCTCATTTGTCAAGCTCAAACATTCAACTGTTACCAAAATTAAAAAAAGTTCAAACAAATATTTTCCCTTAAATTATGGGAAACATTTTTCCAATAACTACTATTTATTATTTTTTTATTTGAATTTAATTTATTTTATTTTAACAACAAAACCAGCTGTATGTGTAGACATGTCCCAAATTATGGCAACAGGGTAGCAAAAATACATGCAACATCCATGAACATCCAATAGGAAATGAAATCTTTCAACACTGTTAACAGCTTATATAACATTTAGCTTGAACTTCAACCCTGTTACCAAAGTTGTCATAAGAAAAATGTTTTTCTTAAATTTATGGGAAATATAATTTTTTATCAATAACTACTGTTTTTGAATTATTTCATCTGATTTTCTAAAATAATAAAATCATCTATATTTAGACGTCAACTAGTTAGATTCAAAAGTTTCAAGTGTAATTTTGTAACCTTTTTGTGGAAAGTACGAGAAATGCTTCAATCCTCTGTATTAAAGGTAGCATTAAAGTGTTGTGCTCACCCTGTAAGTACATCTCCTCTCCCTCCGTGAACATTTGATTGCATCTGCTGCATCGTGCACAGCTTGGATGGTAATGCTTATCTCCTGCCTGTTAGGGGCAAAAGTCAACATTCAGAGGTCAACAGAATTCACAAGAAACACAAGAAAAAATAATTCCAGGGAGACGCGACACTGGATAAGACAGACTGAAATACAAATTCCTTAACATCGGTGACAGAGCGAAACAGAACAGGTGTGCTGCCCCTTCAGTGCACTTCACTTCTTCTAAAAAAGGTTCTTTCCTCCATTCTTTGTATTTTGCTCTCATCACTCCGTATGTGTGTTCTCAGCGAATGTACCTCTGTTAAGATCTGCAGAGTCACTGTTTGCACAGCAGCACAAAGGCATGCACACATATACACACTTAACATAATCATACAGAGTTTATTTTATAGTTTTAGGCAGCTATATAATGTTGCAAACTGGATGTGAACCTGCATCACCTAGCTTAACATGTCAGAAGCATGTTTGCGAAACACCGCAACACTGTCCACCAGCTACAGCTATGGGCTAGAATTCTGATATCTGAGAGCTGGGAGGTTCACCAGGGAGCTGGAAAGCCTGAGAAACACTGCAGTCTGTCAGTCTGTTTAACTTTGGAAGGTCATTCTCTACCACAAGCAATAGTGTCATTAAAGACATTTATAATCCTACATAAACTTTCAGTATAAATTAATTCTGTTATTTTGAAATGGAGATTGGAGTAATGGCTGCTGAAAATTCAGCTTTCACATTGTAGAAATATATTTAATACAAATATATTAAAATAGTTATTTTCAATTGTAATACTATTTCACAATAATCCTGTTTTTGATCAAATAAATGCAGCCTTGGTGAGCATAAGAGACTTCTTTCAAAAACATCTTATTGACCCCAAACCTTTGAACATTAGTGTAGCATACCAGTCATAGCTAAAGGTGCAGTACAATCCACATAATACGGTGTGTATCTTCACTCTAGCTCACAGTTGTAAGTCATCTGCAGTACTGTTTCATCATTCTGCTGCTTTCAGTTAGCTCTGGGAATGCTGATGAGCCCTGCTTTTCTGACATCTCTCTCTCCTTCAAAACCTCCTTAAAACCCTCTTTCTTGAGGCAACACTTTGTATTATTGCCCTTTTTCTTCTTTTTGATTTGTATCCTTTATCTGTTATTTTTCTCTCTTTCTTTATTGTTTTTAATCCTTCTAAAAAGCATAGTTCATCCAAAAAATTTCCATTCTGTCATCGTTTACTGTACTAAGCCTCATGCTATTCCAAACTTGTATGACTTTCTTTTTTTCTGTGGAACACAAAACGAGATATTTTAAGAACATTCAAAACTTTCTTTTTCATTCAATAAAAGTGAATTAGGACTGACGTTGCTAAAATGACAACAACAGTATCATTATCATAAAAGCAGCCCATTCTTCAAGTCTTGCCAATATGATAGTTTTGCATGAAAAACTACCTTTATAATATTTTTATAGCGCATTTTGGAGCTTAACAAAGAGTAGCCAGAATATTCTTAAAAATATCTTCCGCTGTGTTTCATGGAAATAATTTGCTAAAATAAAGAAATCAGCTCTATTTACACATGTACCAAATTATGGAAGAACAGATTATAAAACAACCCATATAATATTTAGTTTGAATTTCAACCATGTTACCAGAGTTACGGTAAGAATTTTTTATATTTATGGGAAATATAAATCTAACAATAACTAATATTATTTTTCTCCAGTGTTTCATGGAAAAAACCGAAAAGTCAAAAAGGTGAATTGTTCCTAAAAAAAAAGAAAGAAGAGGACTTGTGAATTGTGAAAGAGTGAATTGTTCCAAAAAAAAAAGAAAGGCTCTTTTTCTCTTTGAAATTTATATCAAATGTTCACAGGAGCTATACTGCACCAGAAAACCTAAAGCTTTGTTTATCTCTTCTGCTTCTCAAAACAATTCAATTGTTTTGTTGTTCCTCTATCAGCTGGACTTCTGATTGTTGAGGAGGGAGTTGCCCATTTGGCTCCTCTGCAGGGGAAACATCCCATGGTCCTCTGCTGACTTGAACTATGAGGCAATGCAGCTGAAACGCATGATTTCACACAGATGTGACCCCCTCGGCTCCCGGGCCTCCTCGCCATGGCAACAAGGCCATGTAACAGTTTTCCAGTAAACAAACCAGAGTGACAACATGTTCTACCTCTCTGTGTAGCGCTCTGTCTGAGACAGACGGCTAGCAGTCATTTCCTATTGCATCACAAGAAGCCAACACAGAAAACATAGAGCAGTGAACTCTGAAGAAAGGGGCCAAGAACAGTCCACACCTCTGCTTCAGCCCAGATGGAGGGGTGTGGACAGAAGACAGAGCCAGAGAGAGGGAGGGAGACGGGGATGAAGAGAAAAAGAGAAAGTGCTTGGATAGATGTATATTATTTTGGATGCTGGTCCCATGCATGGAATGTTAATGTGCAGCTGACCCTACTAGGTTGTTTATCCATCATAACCAGCAAGACTTTATTGAACTAAAAGCACTATACTGAAAAAAACTGCTTTTGCTGGTCTTAGTTGGTTTCCAATCCCAGCTAAAATAGTGTTCAGATAATCTAACTACCTCCCAATCTGTCCAAAACAATGTTCAGATGGTTTAGCTAGTCAGCCAGCTGCTTTCCTAGCTTAACATGGGCCAAAAATGTGTCTCAACCCATCAAACCAGACCAGCCTAACCAGTGTAAAACCAGGTGAGTTGGCCAGGCTGGTCACTGCATGATTCTAGAATGGACATTTTTACTGGTCTAGCATTTGCAGTGTGTGTATGAATGCCAGTAGGAGTGACTTTCATCTGTAGTCAGTAACATAACCCCATTTTGTATTGCCTGACTGTATTGTTGTGTATATCTTCTCTTCTAGTTGAACTAAAACACTCCACTCCACACTCCACTGAGGAAAGAGCCAGACAAGTGAATCTGACAAGGTTCTGTTTGCGGAACAGAAAAACCAAACCCTGTAAACAAAACCCAACAGTCACAAGTGTAAAAAAGAGAAAGAGAATACACCCAAAAGAAAAGAAAAACACAAATGAGTTCTCTTTAATATAACAATCACTGTTCCTGGACAGCAATAAGATAATATTTATATACTGAAAATTCCCCATACACTTGTGCCTCTAGAAGTTCAGAAAAGATCACAACGTCACAAATTGTGCTCAGATTTAATAGTTAATATAAGATATTTGAAAGAAGTCGCTTGTTATCTCCAAGGCTGCATTTTCTTGATCAAAATAGAGTAAAAACAGTAATATTACTAAATATTATTACTATTTTAAATGTTCTATTTTATTATATTTAAAAATATTTATTAATTATAATAATTCATTCCCGTAAGAACAAAGCTGAATTTTCAGCAGCCATTACACCAGTCTTCAGTGTCACATGATCCTTCGGAAATCCTTTTAATATACTGATTTGGTGCTAATGAAACGTTGTTTATTATCATCAGTGTTTAAAACAGTTGTGCTACTTAACATTTTTGAAGAAAATGTGATACAGTTATTTTAGGATTCTTTGTTGAATAGAAAGTTTAAAAGAACAGTATTTATTTGAAATTGATATGTCTTTACTGTCACCTTTGATGAATTGAATGCATTGAATGCTGAATAAAAGTATTAATTTCTTTAAAAAAAATGTCACTGACAACAAACTTTTGAATGTTTGAAAGTCTGCACTCAAAAGTCAGAACTCTTCACATAAAATTCTTCTGAAGCCAAATTATGTGAGCTATGCTATCCATATTTAATTTATAGCTCTGTAGTCTTACTCTGTCAACTATTTCATTTCTCATTTGCATCTATTTTTATTTCTCTTAATTAAAAATAAAACTCCATTAGGTCTCATGACCTTCAAAAGAACAACCTCTGAGCAAGTTCCCTCCGGGTGTCTAGTATACTCTGGATATGCATGTGTGTGTGTGTGTGTGTGTGTGTGTGTGTGGTGAGATAATGCAGGGCCAGAGAGGCCGACTTGCCATTTCTGGATAGCCACATTAGACACTTATTGGAGAGGTTTAATGAGAGTGAAAATTAATTGCAGTTAAATAACTTATTCACGGTTGACATAAAGAAGCTGACAGCCCAGAGTAATCAAGCTAACACTGAGCAAAATAGCATGTGTGAGCATCTGTTAACAACATAAATGTTTAATACACAGAAAACAAACTGCTAACTGCAAAGTCTTAATTCATAACCAAACCTAAAATAACAGAGTTCCACAACAATTTTTTTAAACACTATTCGTCCCTCATCCAATCTGAATGGCCTCCTTGGCACGAGCGCGATGCCATCTGCAGACCAGCGGCACCTGTTGCTCTCAACATTACGAGATTCTACACATATCTGCTTGGATTTATATAGCCAGAGAGCTGGTTTTGATCTCCTGCGCTCACACATGCATAAGATTCCAGTGCACTTGCTTTCCACCATCTGTGGCAGCACAGATCCCCATAAACACAACTAGTCTACTTGAGGGTACAAGTGCAAACAGACTGTGTATGCGAGAGCACTGATGAGAACCAGTAACTAATAGACTGTTGACAGGTCAGTATAATCAGGATGACAAAGTATGACCATGATCACCCAAACAGCAAAGAAAAAGCTCTGAAGTATTTACACTCTGTTGATAAACACCATCCGCACACTTATATTACAAGTTGCTCCTAAAACCGACCAGAACACACATTGTGACATAACTGCAAACATTTTTGTCAAGTGCTTTAAAAGAAAAAATGAGAAATCGCCTCTGAAACAGTTTAGAAACAATACCTCCGGCAGGCTGCTCGTGTGGCACCCCAGCCCTGCGACTTTACGGTTAAAATCACTTTTGTCACTTGCACTCTCTTGTTCGAGAGAACTCCTAAATTCCCCTTCAGTTCCTCACGTTTTCCCTTTGACTTTTCTTGAGAATTTTCCTAAATTCCCCCCTCTCTATCTCACCGCTCTCCCACCCTATCACAGGGGCCTGGCCTCAAAGGGGCCGTCCCGTGTACAATAGCTGGGCGGGACCTTGGAACCCAGCCAACGGTGCTGCTTTGCTCTATTCCCAGTGGGCCGGTGTCAGTTCTAAAATGTTTGATGAATGGAGAAATGATGTAAGTTCAGCCATGTTGTTGGATGTTGAGATGTGTGTGTGGACACGGGTCAGACTAACGACTCCACTCTTAGGGGATCCAGATGTTTAGTGGGAGCGGAAGTGTAAGAATCTGGAACACTGACACATACTAACATGACTATAAAACTCTGAACACTGAAAATCCACAAGAGACCATTTTATTACCCGTAAAGCAAGAAAACTCACAACAGAGATCTCAGTGATATCTCATATGTGTCTTCTAGAAATCAATGGGACTAAAATCAGAGCAAATTAGGTCTCCTGCTTCTCAGACTTTTCTCCTGAGAAAATACACTCATCAGGAAAAAACACAACAATGTTTCAAACTGTGCTCAAATTTGTCAGGATAAGATGTTTTGTTGCAAATAAAAGTCAGAGATTTCAATCTGAACTCAAAGGTTTCTTACCAAATTATCTAAAGACAATATTACCTATGCTGTACTACATATATTCATTTTATGGCTCTTTCTGACATGTCGGTGTTATATCTTTCACTTGCATGCTATAAGTTGCACTGAGTAAATACAGCTGGATCAAACAAAAACTGTGTCCGTCTTCATTTCAGGCTGCAATGCAACAAAATGTGATTATTTTAAAAGGGTGACTCTTTTCTATACCCACTGTATGTCTATACTGTATGCCAACAATTTGTGTGATTTTTATTTCTCTTAATGAAGTGTATGAGAAGTACCTGAGACAAAGTAAATACTTCATAAATGAGAAATGAAACTTACTGTAGGTTGAAAAAATACACTACTTTTCAAAAGTTTGGGGTTGGTAAAAACAGTAATATTGTGATATATTTTTACAGAAATTATTTTAATATGCTGATTTGGTGCTCAGGAAATGTTGAAAACAGACGCTGCTTAATAATGTTGTGGAAACCACAATGTTGTGGAAAGCATTTTTTGAAACAGAAATCCTTTGTAACATTATAGAAATCTTTTCTTCACTTTTGATCAACTGTGTTCTTGCTTTAAGTTTACTGACCCAAATTTCTTATTGGCAGTGTATATAACATAAAATAATTGTATTACATTGCATTTTATAATATTGCAATATTTTAATAACATTATAAAACAATATTAATATGTCTTGGAACTAAATAAATTCTAAATAGATTAACTTTAAAAATTATTTTGCTTTATCCCCAACGCATTATTATGTGATTCAATTGTTCATGCTACCTTATATATTTTAGAAGGCAATATAATAATGCTGCCTAACTTTTGCAACCACCTTTACATCTGGAGCGCAGCTATGATACCTTAATATGCTGCCTAAATATTATTAGAAGCAGACGAGACGTTCAGTCAATATATGCATACTGGTTACTCACCTCCAGAACTTTCCCTGTGATAAACCGATGACAGGCCTCACACTGCACGCCAAAATGAATCTGGTAGTCTTTCTCACAGTACGGAGAACCATCCCTTAAAAAAGAGAGTAGGACAGTAAGAGAAAGAAGAGAGATTTATGTTTTTACTGTATTCTATTTCATCTCAATGAATCAAGGATAAGAGCAAAAATAAATGCTATTAGAAAAGAGGACAGATAAGAGAGGGGGAATTATAGAGAGAGAGAGGTAGGCATGAGATTGCGAGAGATAAAAAAAATAATGAAGGCATAGCTCACTTGCTGATGTACTCCCCGCTCAGCACTTTCCCACAGGCCTTGCACTTGAAGCAGCCGAGGTGCCACTGGCTGTCCAAGGCCAGAAGAGCCTGACCATTCTTTATATTCCTGCCACATCCTGCACAGTCTGCAAGAGAGCACACACCGATGCACACATCACACACACATAATGAATGAACAGCAGCCAGAAAATGACATTTTGACATGTCAATGAGAAGTTGGACAACACATATTAAAAAGCCTTTTTTTAATAGCCAAAAATATTTAGTTTATCAGCCATCAGCCATGATAAGATTTGCAATTGCTATTCACAAGATATTTAATTTAGCGCTTTTCCTATGATACACAGCAGTGTTATTTTAGTATTATTTACATACTATTATAATATTTTGAACTGGATTTTATTTTTATATTTTAAATTTTCATATACATTTTAGCAAATATGTTATATGCTTTTGTCATTTTATTGTCATTTTTAAATATTATTATTTTAAAATAATTTTGAAATAATTTTTTTAATTTGTGAAGATTTCAATTATTTTTATTTCAGTTTTAGTTTTTACGAATTTCAGTACTTAAACATATTTATTACAGTTCGTTTTTTTTCACATTCCTCCAGTTTTTTACGTTTTTCATCTAATATTCATATTTTAGTTCAACTTTAGTTTTAGTTACCAATAATGATGATACACAGTAGGGCAGGCATATTCGGATATGATGCAATTACATTCATATATTTTTTAAACATATGGGGGTTAATTAGGTGTGCACAAACAATTCTCTCCACTAGATGTCAGTGTCAACTAAACAAAAACTCCCTTAGTTTTTGAGGCCTGTTAATTTACAACATACAGCACTGAATATTCAGGCTCTCAGAAGTCATTTCAAGCAATGCATATTGTATCCATTAAATTCATGCAGCAATCAATAGTGAATCATCATTATATTTCATGACTAATTGAATAAGAGCCTACAGAACCATTTCTAAAAAGCTGAGCATCTTCTCTCCACAAGCTGGAGCTTCTTCCTGAAGGAACGCGAAGAAATGTAGTTAATATATGTGTAACGTGTGTAAAAGGCTGAGGGATAAAAATAGCTCATGGTTGTTATCTTCTATTTATGTTCCTTGGCTGAAATCCCAAAAGCTTTTTTAAAAAGCAGGGACGGATGCGGAGGGGCGGGGAGGTCCCAGACGCTGCTGATGTTGCTTAAGGCACAATGGTAACCATTGACAGTGAGGAGAGTATATAATGCCCCATGCTGCATCTAGCTATCTAATGCATCATTTAAGCTTTCTCGATCTCTGCCTGCACTGTGTGTGTGTGCTAGAGACCCGCAGAGAGTATGTGTGTGTGTGTGTGTGCAATGTGTGTCGAGAAAGAGAAGAAGGGAACGTTTCAGAGAGACCTGTGTTCAATCCACCTGTCGTGAGGTTTATCTAAACTCTCAAACTCAGTGCAGGTTTTTAGAAGTGTCATGCGGTAAAAGCTTTGTGGGGTTTGCCAAAGCAGCATTATCATGGGTCGAAACAATCAGCGCCTTCCAAAAAAAAACGTAGCACTTATCTATCTGGGCTAAAGACTTTCATCAGCCTCAAATCATTTCCTGGGGCTACTGAATGACAAATAATCAGCCAAGTATGACACAAAGATATATTCAGTACGGCTCTTTAAGTTCCTGTCTTTGTGTGTATGTACGGACACTTGCACATATAGGAGAAGAGGAGAAAGATAACTGAGAAAGAGTGAAAGGAAGACAGGAAAGAGAGACAGAATGAGGAAGTGCATGGACACATAGGCAGATTAAAATAAAATTCATGATTATGACTAAAATAGTAATACCATATCGGCAAATATTTAATTGTGCATGCTCATTTTCCCTTTTTTTACATTAGGATAACATTTGTTGTTATGTTACACTCATTTAAAGTTAACATGGTAAAAAAATATATATTTTTCATACTGTAAAAACACTTGTAGCATACTTATGTAGCATATTATGATTTATTTTATTTGTTCAAAAGTTTGGGGCAGGTAATATTTTTAAATGTTTTTGAAAGAAGTCTGTTATGTTCACCAAAGCTGCATTTATTAGATACAAAATTATAGTAAAAACGGATATATATTTTTCATACTGTACTTTATAATGCTGTGATGTCTAAAAACACTTGTAGCATACTTATGTAGCATATTATGATTTATTTTATTTGTTCAAAAGTTTGGGGTAGGTAATATTTTTAAATGTTTTTGAAAGAAGTCTGTTATGTTCACCAAAGCTGCATTTATTAGATACAAAATTATAGTAAAAACGGCAATATTATGAAATTAATTTATTTTGAAATTGACTTTATTTTACACCAATCTTCATTACTCCAGTCTTCAGTGTCACATGATCCTCCAGAAATTATTCTAATATTATGATCTGGTGCTCAAGTAGCGTATTATTATCAATGCTGAAAACAGTTGTTCTGCTTAATATTTTTGTAGATACATCTTTTCAGAATTCTTTGATGAACAGAGAGTTAAAAAAACAGCATTTATCTGAAATCATTTGTAACATTGTCTTTATTTACTGTCGCGTTTTATATATATATATATGTTCTTGAATAAGTATTAAATCTTGTTTTTGAACAGTAATGTGTGTGTGTGTGTGTGTGTGTGTATCCTGCACCTTTTTTCCACCCAAGCAAAAATCGTCAAACTTCACTAATACTTGGTCTACACGCAATGTTTTTTTCAATCAACTCAATCCCATGAGGCAATGTTTAGAATTACATTAATTCTCTCCTCTGCAACACAGCAGCTATTCATTGCTAAATTGCTCCTGTAATTGTCCATCACCTGATGTTGTTATGTAACAACAACGATTCCCTGCTTTATGACAATTTGAGTTTAATGACTAAAGCCATTTACTATAATAAGGAAATCCCAAGCCTCAGGAAATCGGCACATTCTACACATATGGAGTCCTGACCTGTCAGCATCCATCAGTCTAGAATGTATCAGAAAGCGGAAGCTCACAGAATGCGAGTGAGAGAGAATAGGACAACCAGCAGGCACTGGAGTTCTCTGAGCCTCTCTCATTCTCTGTGCCTGTCTGCTTGACTCCTGGGGCCCCGCAGTTTCAATTACACAAAGAGGACCCCTAATCTACCGGAGGAAGATGAAGAACTTCCTCAAAGTGAGATAAAAGAGTGAAAGAAATCAAAGAGAGAAAGATTTTAAGGCGATCAGTTTTTCCCTGGTTGACAGCACAGGAATTGGTCTAAGCATCCTGTCAACTCAAGTAACCCTAGAGAAGTCTGAAAAGAAGCAGGGATCCTTATTAAAACAATATATAGGAAAAAATACTTCCCTGTGTAAAAGCCATTGTGGTGTTTGGGTGCTGTGGATGGTTGCCAAGGCATTCCTATGTTGATAACGTACAGCACATGTATTCTGACTGATATAAGCACTGCTTCATACTTGCCTAAGTGTTTGTGGTGGTTGTCAGGGTGTTGCTATGCGGTTTCAAATATATTCTGACTGGATTTTAGAGCATTGCTAATAAAGGCTGGAGTGCACTACTCAACCTTTTAAAAATCTGTTCGAAATCTGTTCAAAACCTGTATGAGTTTCTTTCTTCTGTTGAACCAAAGCGTTTCTGGTCCCCATTGACTTCCATAGTATTTTTTTCCACACTACGGAAGTCAATAGGGACCAGCTACTGTTTGGTTACCCACATTCTTCAAAATACTTTTTTTTTTATTTTCAACAGAATAAAGAAACTCCTAAAGGTTTGAAACAACTTGAGGGTGAGTAAATGATGACAGAACTTTCATTTTGGGGTGAACTACTCCTTTGAAAAAACTACAAATCCAGACTTCAGATTTTCCAAAATGCATCACATCATGGTTCCTGATATTCCAAACAGTGGATTTAGATGCTGACGAAACCAAAGCATATAGCTTCTGATGGGATTGAGAGACAGTGAGTTTCCAACTAGCAGCAATGACCTTGAGTCCTGAGCAGTATAAGACCTGTCAACACACGCATAAAATACACAATCTAACACATCTATAAAAGGGGATGATTGTGGCAAGCTGAAATCTGAGTAGGACACTAAAACTTAACCAATAAGCACAAACACACGTGTGTGCGCAAGTGTGGACTCACTACTAGAGGTGCTGATGTCTTTGGGAGTCGGGGAAGTTTGCTGGACGCAACTCTGGCAGAGACTGTCTTTTCCATTAAACGTGACTCGATCACCAGCGGGAAATGGCCGTCTGGCAACAGAAGAAGGATGCAAAGACATTTAGGCATTTACACTACCATTAAAAAGTTTGGGGTCAGTAATTTTTTTCAAAGATGCATTAATTGGATCAGAAGTGACAGTAACAACAAAAAAAATCAATGTCAGATATTCAGATAAATGTTCTTTTGAACTTCCAAAGAATCCTGAAAAAAATGTATCATGGTTTCCTCAAAAATATTAAGCAGAATATTAGAATGATTTCTTAAGGATCATGTAACACTGAAGACTGAAGTAACGGCTGCTGAAAACTCAGCGTTGTCATCACAGGAATAAATTACATTTTAAAATCTATTAAAATAGAAAAAATATTTTAAATTGTAATAATATGTAACAATATTTTTTCTTGTTTACTGTGTTGAAGCAGCTTTACAGTGTTAAACAGGAAAATGGCTAATTGACTTCTAGTACTAGCTAACTTATTGTGTTAGCAAGTCCAAGGCTAATTCAGCTTTTTCTTCACATACAAATATAAATCATACATGTTTTAATGCGGATGAAATGGGCTTGCTTTTGGTAAACTCTTACTTGCAAACAGTGCAGACAAAACATGTGGGATGGTAGGTCTTCCCAAGAGCAGTGACCACCTCTCCTTCAACAAAATCTCCACAGCCATTACAGCGAGTGCCATGTAGCCTCTGGTAGTCCAGCGTGCATAGGTACTCCCCGTTCTTCATGAAGAAACCACCTTGGGCCAGGTCACAACCGCACACTGAATGTCAATTCAAGAACAAAGAAATCAGAAATTAGAATAGAATTAGAAAGTTTAATGAGATCTAACAGTATAAGACAGTCTTGAGTGAAATCTGAAACACAATGTTGAAACACACACCATCCGCTTCCAAATAAATGACACTTTGTTTGGCTCTCAAACTCAGTAGTCACATTAGTGCATCTCTTTTGCACTGGGATTTACACATTTTGGTTGCCAGCAAAACATAAGGTCAGGGGGCTTATGCTCATCTTGGCCAATGTCTGAGGACAAAGGTGTATAAAGAGAGAGGTTGGTATGCTGAAGATTTCATGAGCTTTCAAGACTCTGGCACAAGTTCAGACACTTTATATAGGTCTGCATGAATAGGTATGTTAGGTCTGTGTCCTCTTGGCAAGCGTGTCTATGTGGAATCCTGCCGTCACACATGCTAGATCTGTCTGAAAGCTCCTTGGCAGACTAAGACTGATATTTAACAGCTTGTTTAGCGTCACATGATACCCCCTTCTCAACAAGCCCCCTTTTTTCTCACTTCCTCTCTGTCTATCCTAATACATCCCAACCTGTAAATATATAAGGGGCACAGTTTTATGAAATGGAGTGTACATTTCACTGGAAAATATGGGCAAAATGGAGAAGAAACAGCATATGACGCAGACCACATTCAAACCCCCATCTCCGGTTTTAGCACCACTGACTAATGTGATTAAATTAAATATTTACTTGAAGTTCTGCATATTTATATTATATCATTGAATAATTTAACAACATATTTGCCTGTTCACAGTTCTCTCATGTAAAAAAATCTTATTTTTATTACCTATTACTTATTATCTATTACTAGTTTATAACCTTACTAACTATTAATAATCTTATTTTTCTCATCTTATTTTTATTAATTTATTTTAATTTTATATTTTTATCATTTAACCTAGCAATTCCTTCACAAACTCCAGTTTGGGAAACCAGCACTAAGCTAAATTTCAGCACCTTTGTGACTCATTATTATACCTTACGGTTTCATGGACTTTATTAATGTGTGATTTTTAAATTTTTTTAAGCAAATTCATTTCAAATTGTTTTCTCACATTTAAATTTTTTTTTACATTTTGATATGAACATTTTGAAACAAAGATAGGTTTTTTCCCCCTATGTGTTTCCCTCATCTTGTGATATGGCATCAGGCCAAATCAAAGGTCATCACTGGCCAACTTTGGCCTCTGGGCGCTGGTTTGGGCATTTCTGATTTATAGAAGTAACAAACAACACAAAATAGTACGTATGTATTCATCTCTAGTTAGTAAAAGTGGCGCAAATACAGTTTAATTGATAATATAGCTAAGGAGATTCATTCCCATCTTTGCCAAATGAATAAATTGAATTAAAATGGTCATTTGGTTTAACTTTTTTCACATTAAGTTTTCAACACAAATCCAAAATATTATTTGTACTCCCATCTCCATAGCTGTCATCATATCTTTTGCTTCATTGAATCTGTCTTCTGTTTCTGGAAGATTAGGTCTATTTAGACAGACGAATGTGACAAGCAGGTGGCTTTGGAGACAGCAGTGATTAGCAGAGAGAGTTGTGTAAGAGTCGCAGCCAGTGCCCTCGCTTGTGTCTGGCATTTGGGTAACCTTCACTGACAGGGTACAAAATGCCAGGATGCCAGTTTAGAAAATGTCATACCCATTAATGTTGTTTCATGCACATCTTGTAACTACAGACCACAGGGATAAAACTGCCACTACTATCCTGGGCTGTCTGCAGTTATATTTCAAGTTGGATGTCCCATCTTGAGACAACACCAAATCTATATTATAAAAAAACTAGGGCACTAGAGCAGTTTGCACACAGCAAAACATGTAACATTTGCTTATATATCTGCTATATAACCTCTATATAACATATTAACCTTCTAAACATGTCTGCAGGCCTTTAACCTTTTAAAACATGTCTTCTTAACAGAAGAGAAGCAGTAGTTACATGGACTGGGAGTTCAACTGTGCATGTGCATGTGTGTGTGTATGTGTGTATGTGTGTGTGTGTGTGTGTGTGTGTGTGTGTGTGTCGTGAGCAATGATGCAAGTGTAATGACGCTCTCGGCTGTCTGTCAGATCCCTCCTCAACAGAACAGCCTGTTAACTCCTCCCAGAACAAACATCCATCCATACGCTCAATCACTGAGCCATCCTCTCCATCCTCACACTCTCTAACTGCCTCCGTTTGAATGGAAACGGGAAAAAAATGATTCATATGAAATACTGGAAAGATTTAAGAAGAGTAGGGACATCTGATTCAACTCAAATGTGACTTTTGTTTTAGTTCAGATTCAGTTCAGATACTATGATGCAAAGAGCCTCAGAAACAAAGCCAAGTTGCAATCTGTACAGAGTGCAGAAGTGCAGAATGCCCCGGGTTTCCCATACAGTATATTGCAGACATCAAACAAGCTTTCACAGACTTCATCAATATTTTAATGAGATTCCCAGCATGCTGCTTTCTCCCCTGCACTTTAGTGGATAGCACTCGTTCTGCATGGGTTTCTCTCCACTTTGTCTGAGACTTCTACATGACTTCTAGTTTCTCCTCATGGAGAGACATCTCACCCTCAAATACCGTAACAGCAGTGGGATATATAGACAAACAGTCTCTGTGAAGTTTCTCTCATCTTTTTAGTGTGGTGTGGTTTTATACTTCATTTTTGCGCACTTAATCACTGTGTGAGATCAGCTAATAGAGCAGATAAAATGATTTTCAAACAAGAACCCTGGCTGGCATGAGGGGCCTCTTGGCACAGAGCATGGGACTCTGTATCACCATGTGAAACTACCAACAACAGCGTTATAACAAAGTACTACCATGTTGCCCAGAAAGGCTGTCCAGCCTCATGACTGGAGATCTCAGGCTGAATATGTGGGAGAGTTTTAAAAGAATATTTCAGCCCAAAAACTGCATTCATTAGAGAAGTAAAAATGTGATAATCTTTTCAATAAATCGGTTGATCTGGTTCACATGAATAGGACTGATCCCGTACTTCATTCAGTGTTTTAATGATCAGGTTGCAGCGGTAAATTATCACGGAATGAAGATTTAAATTTAAGCTTGTTTCTCACACAAAGATATTGTATTGATTCAGGTGGCTTATGAATATCATATTGACCAGTTTTATGATATGCCTATGGTGACTTAGCATCATTTTTGAAGCTTCAATCCCCATTCTATGTACTTGCATGGAGAAACAAACAATACATTTCATAAAATGTATTTTGTGTGTGTGTGTGCCACAGAAGAAATAAAGTCATATGAGTTTGGAGTAAATCAAGTGTTTATTTTTATATGAACCCTTTAAAAAAAACTCCATTTAGCTGTATGTAGATAATAAACATCAATAACAAAAGCTAATTTTGTTGACTTGATTTTCTGCATTGACAGAGTGAGTGGATACTAATGGCGACACATCTTTCATGCTGCTTGAGTTGAGGTGTATGTACATTGAGCAAAGCTGCAAAATATAATGCAGAGATCATTAAAATGACCACTGAGTCTACGTGGCACAAATGTATGATTCACCTGGGAGCAGAATTCTGAGTCTGACCTCAGCAAGGAATGCAGGTGGTACTGTATGCTGTAAGTAATTTAAATCCTTAAACACATATTTCCTGTGCTTATAATAAGTTCCCATGAGCCACTGCATGGATGAGTCTTAAAGTTTACATGGTAGAGCACAGCAAATTTAATAAAGCGCACAGGACAGTATGAAGAATTGACTAATGAAAATTCATGACAGCAAGAAAAATTTCAACTGTTTATAAAAATTGAAAAAAAAGAAAATGGCATATATACACTACTGTTTACAACTACTATAACAATAAAAACTATATAACTATAAGAACTACTGTTTTTTAAAAGAAATTAACACTTTTATTCCACAAGGATGCATTAAATTGATCAAATGTGACAGAAAAAATACCACAATTCTTCCAAATATTTCCACAAAAATTAAGCAGTACAACTGTTTTCAACATTAATAATAAGAAGAAAGCAAATGAGCATATTAGAATGACTGCACATGACGTGACACATGAAGGATCATGTGATACTGAAGACTGGAGTAATGACTGGAGTAATGACTGAAAATTCAACTTTACTGTTAAAGGAATAAATTACTTTTTAAAATATATTAAAACAGAAAACCATATTACAGTTGTTACTGTATTTTGATCAAATAAATGCCGCTTTGGTGAGTTTAAGACACGTTTGTGACCCTGCCTGTGAAAACCCATCTAAAGTCATTTTTTTTGTGATTTACTGTTTTCAACATAAAATCATCCTTCAAAAAGATGAAAATATATATCTTTAATATTGACTGAGTAAGGCCATGTCAAAGATTGAAACCGTAGTGAAATTAATGGTTGAATCAAACTTTGATGCTTGTTATCTCATAATTAGATTTTAAGACTTTAGCCTGGATTTCACAGACAGGGTCACATTTTTCAGAAACATATTTTCAAACTTTTGAAAGACAGTTTTTAGGTAGTGCTGATTTTTACGGCTCTTACAAAAATAGACTATGGTGGTACCATGGTAGAAACATGGTAGCGTAATAATAACTCACCTAGAAGAAAATTGCTCAGAATTGTCACTTTCTGAGCTCAGTATTCAGGTAAAATAATAAACTTAGAAGAGACAATCAATTAAATGAGATCATTTGAGTCGCTTTCTCTGAAGATGAAAATCTGAGAAGCAGGACACTTAAGCAGAAGTCTCTGTTAAATATCATTGCTGAGAAAATGATACATTAAATAGATGTAAATTGGGATTTTTCAAGTGAGACAGAAATATATCTGCAACGTCATAGCCAGATAAAACACTCCAATCTAAGTTAATAATTACTTTTTTTTTCAATTTTTTTTAACACTTTTCATCTAAATCAATTATTCACTAACAGAGCAGCCTTTTTCTCAAGATAAAGTACACATTTTGATTCATGGACATTC